AATGGATTATTGCACAAGAAATAGTAGTCCTACCCTTTATAAACAGATGTGGTCATAAGAAAAAAAATTATTGAAGAAAATAACATTTCAAAATGTGATATTTGGTATGTCAAAAAGCTATACCATGCTAATAAACATGCCTTTAAATTCGTAAATGATGAAGGTGTAAAAAAGCATGCATAGGGCCTACTGACACACCAACATGGGTAATGTATCTTAACTCTTTATCTCCGAGGGGGGTAAACCCACTATGGCGGGGCCCTTTTTTGGTACTAAATCTAAAAATGGCGAAAACATCACTAAACTGGTTTTAAATGGCGAAGTCCTTGTAAAGGAATATGCCCGAGCCGCTGTCAGCGGCACACCAGCACAGTGGTTCCGACCATGAGCCACTGGGAGGGGCTTGACGGAGATAAAGAGTTAAAAGACTGTGGGGAAAAAAAAAGAAACCTTTTCTCCTTTCAAAAAGTAACTTGCATTCATTAATGCAAACACACTTAAACATTCACTATCATTCAGGCACACATTTCACTTTCATCAATGCACTTATTTTGATACACAGTATTTTCATTCTCTTTGGCTTTAAATATGAATCATACTTAAACACAAAGGTCTATGATGCTTACTGGTACTTATAACAAGAACAGCACCATCTTTCCCTCAATGCCCTGTAAATTAGCTAAATTTCTGGAGGTTTCAACCCTTTTCTCAAAGATTAGTTCAATGACACCAAAATGGATAAATCATTGCAGTCCAGGGTTATACGTTTTTCAATAGAATTCTTGATCAACGGAAATCAGTCATATATTTAAAAAAACAATCAAGAGATTCCAGAAGAGTATTTACAAAAATACAACCTATCCTATTTGTATTAGCTGCGCTGTAGAAAGACAGACCAAAATAAAAGTCAAGCCAAGAAACTTCTTTTCTGTCATGAGTCTTTTGATAGTCATCCACTGTAGCATAAAAGTTTCCTCTACAATAAAGATCACAAAAGAAAACTTTCACTACACATTCCAATTAAAATTGTAATATGGCAGAACAGCCTTGATAGTTAAACTGTGGACTCACAAAAGAGAGAAACATTTGACTGTTATGGATCTTTTAAAAATCTATATCTGCGTTCCCTTCTACAAGCAGCGGGAAAATCCCTCATTTTAAATTACATACTCTCTTATGTAACGAAATTCATCTGTACAAGTAGCCAAAATACTTCTCCATAAATACAATGATTGTTCTCATAAAATGAGCAGAAAAAATGCTGAACTTATGTGAAAACTCACATTTTTTCTTACTGATAATACTTCTACATCAAGAGAGGCCACAGGCTCAGCTAAAAGCATCATTGATAAAGCAGAAATGTCGACCAAACCACCCACTTGATGACAACGAATATCTTCCCTCAAACGTTTTCGGCAGTAATATGGAAAACAAAGAGAAAGGCCACGGTAAACAGGGGCTTATCCTGAACAGGGAAAGAGAACAAAAACTATTACTCAAAACTTATTTTAAAACGGGTACGATGGAATGCTCCCAGAACAAGATAAAGACTCGGTCTAATGACCAAGTCTAAATATTCAAAACAAAAACCAAATCTCTAAAGGTTTATAAAAAAGGAAATTCTAAGATTAAAAACAAAACATTTTGAATATTATGAAATCTGATAACACTACGACACATTAAAATAACCTGGAACTTTTTACAAGAGGGGACCAGAAAGTAATGGAAGTTGCCATCTAGCGGCTAAGATGTTGACTTCAGTCATACAGTAGAACACATTAATTATGGATGTATAACATGTCTACTCTCAAACCAACCATTGAAGTTTCATGTGACGTCACATTTGATTATTTTATGAGGTCACAAACAAAGGAAAGTTTGTGTTCTCGAGAAAACAAGACATGAGTTCACAAAAGAAAGCATCTGTATCTACATCTTCATGCCCTGTAAACTTGGTAAATCGCAGAAACTGATTCATAAAAATTTGCAGAACGTTTGTAGAGCATCTGCAAGTTCATATAACACAGTTTATCTTTGAGTAAGAGAAGTTCGTGAAGGGAGAAACAGTTTATGACAACCCCATTTCTGGCCGTGAAAACTCCTCTGTGAATGAGAAAAATGTTGATATTATCTGGCGTGATATAAAAAAAGTGTGAGCCCATTGGAAACCCCATTTATCAAATGTGAAAGAAACAGGAGAGAAGGGGCTATGCACCATAGAATTGCTTAGAATGTTTGAATCCCAAGAACTATAGATTCCCTTTTGTGGAATTCCATCAAAATGGTTAAGTTGCACGAGAACATTGTCTTTTTCCTTTTCAGTGCTCTTCTTTCAGTTGATATCATGTTACATAATACTATTACGACTTCATCTTCCTATGTGCAAAAGGTACTGCCCCAGTATAAAAACTGCTATTGTGACAAGCTGAGACCAAAGATCAAAATCTCTTACACAACGCTCCTCCACTTGAAATGCAGATGTCCACAAGCAAGAGCTACAACTCTGTGCATACTAGAGCAAGACCTACAACTCTGTGCATACTAGAGCAAGGGATCCAAGTTAAGCTTCATCTAGTCAAGATGGAGCTTAAAGTCTACAATCCTGACCCCACTTCCTTTGACTTCTAGTTGTTTCCTACTCTGAAAGATTAGCTTGCTGGACACAAGTTTGAATGCATTTAGGACTGAGAAAGAGCAGTCAATTAAGAACTGCACAGTTTACTGAAAGCTGACTACCGCTGTTCCTTCCACAAGAGGATGTAGATGCTAGGATCCGCATAAAAAGTCATGGGATGGGGAATGGGTTTCGAGCGACTGTGAAAATTTCAGGTCCACAGCATTAAATTTTTTTTAGATGTTACACAACTTCCTTTTACTGTTTGATCCATCCCATTATGTGCTTTGATTTTCAGAGGATCTTTCTTGCTCACAGCTTTAGAAATTTACGTTAAAAACTGTCCACTTTCACTGAGGCAGTAAACACTGAAAACCATCAACTGCTTTATTCAATATGATTTTTTTTAAAATCAAGAACTCAGAACAATTGCCGAAAAAAGCTTGAAAGAGAAGGCAGGATGGAACTACAGTCGTGAAAGAACAAGACAATGAAGCTGCTAAAGCTATGCTAAAATCAAACAGCATTGAAAAAAAAGAAAACTTCATACCTAATCATGTTCAAAAATAAGACTGGGCTAAAAAGAAAAGACAGAGAGGTATGGAGATGAGACAGAATGAATATTTTGGCATAGCTGAAAAGTTATCTCAAAAGCAATGGTGTCTGAACCATCAAACTGAAACATATTGATAGTACATTAAGCTATCTGTTTTTTGGGTCTAACATTTGTCATTGACCGGTGTTCAGATTTAATGAAATACATTGAAAAAGTCAGGGGAAATACAAGAGGCAACAGACCTGTGGTAAACAACAGTACTTTTAAAAGAATATAAGCAATTTTTGCAAAGCACTAATTTTACACAACAATTCACATCATAACTTGCAATGTTTTGAGATCGATATTAAACGAAGCATTCCAAACAAGTGACTTCCAATCGAGAAAGAGATCAAGAGGTCTTGGGTCTCACTTCAGTTGGAAGTCTTTTTTTTTTTAACCCAACAACATAAGTTTTAAAATTAGAAAGTCAACACCAAACAGAGGGCCTCTGTATGAACTCTAGTGATGAGTGTCATATCTCACAAGGTATTACAGACTAAAAAGGAACTTGCACCGAAGTGCATTTGATGTATATTAGATCTACACACTGTCAAGTTAATATTGACACTGACATAGTCCTGCTATCTTAAACAACATTTTAGAGTGCCTATTATATGTCCAAGAACCACATGACTGTTTGCTGTTAGCATGGCAGGCTCAGTACAAACACAAGAAATACTGTAAATACTTGGTCAGCATAAAATGTTTATCAGCACTGACAGTATTTATACCACAGGAAAAATAGTTTGCAAAGTATGCAAGGGGAGCCTTGAAAGAGCTCACTCGTTTTTGCCATATGAGCGAGCTTCATGCTGGTCTAATTTCTCTCATTTCTTATTTGGCATATGACGGAACAAGTTGGAATACTCCTCTGAAGGCAAGTCTGAGCCTGCATTTCGAATATCAATGACATATCTAAAACATTTACATTTGATTACAAATATCCATAATTTCGTAGTTGATGAGCCTCTGGCGAAAACTCAGACACCAAAATGCTGATCATACAAGCTTTTGAGGAACTTGATCTAGATTGCATAGATTTGATTGTTTTGATTAACTCAAGTCGAAAGTTCTACACCTAGAGTGTCTTTATGCACTGTTTTACAGGCTATTGAGATTTCAATCATGTACACAAAGTATGTTCTTGTTCTAACACACTACGCTGTTACATTGTTCATGCAGCACATTCATAAGTACAAGGGTTTACAGAAGTGGCAACGTAAAAGATTATTGCAAATTCAGTAACTAATTTTACAACAAGCTCTTCACAATCTTCACAACTTGAGAATAAAAGCATTGATTCTTCTTCTTTTGTCAAGTACTATTTCAAAAGTACTATACAGAATTATTCACTGGTTCTCCCATGTTGACAGAAGTTAAAATTTATGCTGTTACAAATGTATGTGATAGACCACTTGGTGGATGAAAATGGCACAGATAGATAAAGAGTTCAATCAAGGGCCAGTATCAAATTTGCAAAAATACATTTTAAAAACTTTTTAAAAAGATATTAAAGTTAGGCAGTGCTTTTCGTCAATGTCAAGTAAATGTAATATTGTTCTTCCATCCCCAACACCCATTAGACTGTCTAAACATGATTCATGTTTTGTTGGCCACTATTTATTTAAGTTCAACCCGCATAAATAGCTTCAGCATCTAAAGAGTAGAGTCTGTATGGAACTGTCATGACAAAAGAATACATTTAATACATTTGTGCATGATACTAGAACCTCTACTTTCTGATCTAAAACTAAAGCGTAATTCTTCAACTAGTAAAGGAGTTTTTTGCTAACAATTTTCTCAGATGTTCCTACAAATTCAAAACAGCCCAGGTGAACAAAATGTTGCCCACCAACAGCCCAACATGCAACAGATCAACTCGGTAAACCATGCCTAGCTTTCCCTCTGAGCCAATCATCAGCCCGGAAACAATGTAGACCGCAGCAGCCAAAACACCGTAGATATTCCATGTGCGTAGTGACACAATGATGATGGTGAGCATGCCAAATCCACTGCATGCCTCCACTATCAGTTTGCGCATGCCGGGAGCCAGGAGGCGATTGCCCAGAAGAACACCCATCATAAACATGATGTTGAGGTTCATCATAATTGGCAACTCCTTGTGACAGAAGCCTACAGCAAGGAGTGGGACACCAAGTACCTATGCGGGGAAAGAGAAGAGATAAAGGTAAAAATAAATTAGGCACTGAGGAAAAAATAAGTTAGTTAAATAAAAATTTTGTTGAAAAAAAAATAATCAGATTTTAAATTTTTTCTTTAATTTGTCTAAACAAAATATGATATTCAGTTCCTAAATGTTTTATTCTCTTGACAGTGACAGCTTTTCTACAGTGGTGTCTGCCACAGAAACCCTTGTTTATTGTTTTGCTGCTGAGTTTTCAAAGGAGGAAGGGGAGGAGGCTGTAAAATTCAAAGATAACAATAACCCTACAACACCGCCCTCTCTCGCTTTCCCTGCACACACACACACAAACACACTCATGGGTCCTAATCACAAGATACAGAGATGTTCTAAGTTGATATGTCAGAAAGTGAGAACATAGGCAGTGTTTGGTTTGAGCATTAGCGGTAATGTTATGCAGTGGCCAAGACTTTTCCCCTTAGACTCTTGAAGGAAGGTGATTCTTGGTGAACTAAGCTCCTCTACTCAGTGTTGTGCACTTTTGAAGCGGTTGTTTTGAAGAGACAAGCAAAAGAGGAAGGATGCACACACACTGAAATTATAGGCCAGAGTCTGAGTTCGCAGTTTTAGAATCTAAAAAAAAAAAATTCACCTGAGAAGCAAAGCAATAAAGGTTGCTGTTGAAGGTAAAAGGTTGCTATTTAAAGGGTTTATTACAAAGGAAAAATTCTGTTACAAGTTACACAAGTTTAATTGCTGTTAGGTGGAAGTTGTTCTCATCTGGGTTGCTGTACAGTGGATATCCCTGTATTAGCATAATGAAGGAAACCTGTCAGCATTTATCAATACACAATGTACTGATGTGCTTCAATAATGACGAAAAATCACATACGCCTAGATTCTAAATTAACACTTTTCCCATTATTCACTATTATCAAAAATAAAATACAGAGACAAGAAATCTCATTTGAAAGCTTCAAACTTGCTTGATTATGTATAGCTTCCACATACAGTCAAACTTTGACACCCCCCAACCCCCCACCCCCCCCTCTGTGTAGATTGACCGAATCTTCAATATAAAATTTACCTTTTCAAACACCATAACAAAGCAATTAAACTTATGAAGTATGATTTTAGAAACCAGAGACAAAAAGAATTTGATGTATTTTTCAAAGCTATGACTCACCCTTGCCAACCAAGCGGCCATCATATGGTAGTCGTAGATTTGACCTTCTTGCCGGGCTTGAGCAAAGCGGGCGACACCCAGAGCAGCGGCCACACCTTGGATACCCAAACCAACACAGGCAAAAAAGTTTATCCAGAACACATTGTAGATAAAGTACAGCACAGACCAGGTGAGGAAGGCATCAGAGACTGAGGTTGTAAGCTGACGGGCCATTCTTATAATGTTACTTGAAAGGAACAAGGTGTACCTGAATCAGATCTGGGGAAACAAAAATATAGCAGTTTTATAATTATTCTGCAATGTTATAAAACCTGTTTAAAGGCCTTTGATTATTCCAAATTCCATTCACAAAAGCAAATAATAAATTCCTCTAGTGTCTGGGAGGTGAAACAAAAGAGCAGCAGGAAGAAAATGTCGGTGCTGGTTTAGTTGAAGGTCTACCACAGTGGTCTACTCTAAGTACCACCTATGGCTGGCCCTCTGAAGCCCCCTCGTCCTAAGTTCTCCTGTCTAAGACGGAAAATGTCGAAGAAGGAATTTTTTTTACTCCCTTGCAATTCTGTCTTTGATAGCTTTAACTGTAATTTGAAACGAATATAAAGTCAATATAAAACACACAAAATCTAATTGAACACCTTGGCCAAAACGACACACAGCCTCATTTCCATTTACCTCCTTCCCTTGTCACTTTTATCTCCTCTAATTAAATACACATTTGATTTCCGTCCAGTTCTCTACATCCATGTCTGTAAAAAGTGATGGAGTTAAAATAGGAAATGAAGATACTTCCTTCCTTCTTGAGAATTCGAAGCATGAAGGCGTATTTCTCCAGTGGCAGTACATTACATCACCGACAACTTTTGGGGTCTAAAATACAGTCCTTTTCCAAATCAAGATAGTTAATCAAACCCCTCTACAACACATGTTGCTTTTTGTCCATTTAATCTCCCTAACCACTTCCTTGATGTTGCTGATGGTTAATTTTTTAATTTTTTAGCATGATAAACGAGAGATGACCTTGACCTTGTTAGCCTCTTTTTCCTGTCTGCAGATTAATATTCTTTTTTCCAATCTATTGGTTCCGCTTCCATGCACCCTTTGACTATGGTTCTCAAACTGGAAATCGCCTATAATTCTGCTGTCTGTAATTGCCCCCCCCCCCCCCCCCCCCCAAATTGTGTCATCATTTATGTTTCTTTCCATTTTTATCGTTAACACGTTAAGGGCAGAATTAATTATATTAAGTAAAAAAAATTTTAAAAAGAAAGAAAGAATAAATTTTAAAAATACCTCAATTAAATAATAAATAAATAAATGTGTAAGCAAATAAATACATAATGCTAATGATTATCATCATTATCATCATCAGAAGAAGAAAAAAAAGAAAAAGGAGGAGGAGGAGGAGGAAAAGGAGGAGGAGGAAGAAGAAGAAGAAGAAGAAGAAGAAGAAGAAGAAGAAGAAGAAGAAGAAGAAGAAGAAGAAGAAAAAGAAGAAGAAGGAGAAGGAGAAGGAGAAGGAGAAGGAGAAGGAGAAGGAGAAGGAGAAGGAGAAGAAGAAGAAGAAGAAGAAGAAGAAGAAGAAGAAGAAGAAGAAGAAGAAGAACAAACACAGTCATAATAAAAAATATCAAAAACAATAATACTAACAATAGAATTGATTTTTTTCTTTGGACCAAACTCTCTCTCTCTCTCTCAATATGAACAGCCGATGCAAATCCCCATCCCTTCGAAGTGGGACAAATTTTTAAATCGTATCGTGAGTTTGAGAAGAATTTCGGAAGTACTGAGGTACAAAGTAAGTTTTCAGCAAAAAATCCTCGAAATCAGTCACTGCCAAGAACAACACAATCTAGACGAGTCGAAACACTACCCGGCGAGGTTGCAGTACTTCAAGTTCAACCTGTTCTTGATTTGTAAACATTAATATATCATGGAAGCTATGATAGCATGGGCAGAGACACATCAAAGACACTGTGGTAAGTCTTAATTTTACAGTTTTTTGGCAATATATTTAATTTGTAACATCAATTTAGAGGGTTAAAATCATATACAGATCGACATTTTCATTCGATGTTAGAGGCCTACCCTTAACCTTATTAACCCCAAGAGCTCTCTCTGGCTAAGTAGCGAATGATTGCTGGCGACCGCTAGACCTAGAATCTAGGCCTACTCAAGACTACTGTGACATAGATCTAGATCTACCTGTACATTTTTTTTTTTACATGTTCTTGTACTTGTGAAAAAACCTTTCTTTCAGAGATGTGAAAGTAGAGCTCAGACGTAACATAACTACATACACACAACATAGAATGACAGGTTTTTAAAACTGTCCGAGAGTTGAAAATGGCATTTTTCCATTGCTGCTATTCAATTTGTTATAATCGCTTCCCTGACAGTAGGCTACGCAAATCCGGGAACATCAATCCTGACGGAACGATCACCAAGCCTTTGCTCTAATTTTCCACCATTTTTTTTAACAAGTTCGACTGTCAAATGCCAAAACCACAGAACAATTTCACTTTTTAAAACAAAATCTATATTTTGGGAGCCGTTATTTTCATGACCGAGCCCCAAAGAGGGACAAAGGTCGAGAGCGCACAAATAGGTCTACAACTTACTACCGAGGTTTAGATTCTAAATCTACTGTCTGAGAAGCTAGAAAGGCAGGTGCTCTCTCTCTCTCTCTCTTTTCAAAGTTTTCTAAAACGCATGTTGCGGTATTGATAATGATGAGGCCAGTACAGAATTTCGGGACGTAGGCTCTGGTTTTGCAAGGGAAAGTTGAAAGCACTTTCTGCACCCATCCGGAAGTTTTGACACCTTAATCGGAATGGCCCCGGAAAGTCGAAAGTCCTAAGGATAGATGCACGGCAAAAGGAGCAGGTCACAGTACAAGGAAATGCACTAGAAGACGTCAAATCCTTCTGCTATCTTGGGAGTATAATCGACAGAGAGGGAGGAACAGGCGCTGAAATAAAGTCCCGCATTGGAAAGGCACAGGCTGCATTTATTTCTTTGAGTAGGATATGGAGGACCAGGGATATCTCATTACGAACAAAGCTTAGAATTTTCAACTCAAATGTGAAGTCAGTCTTGTTGTATGGATGTGAAACGTAGAACGCATCCCATATGTGCATAAAGAGGATCCAGGTTTCCTTGAACAGGTGTCTGAGGAGGCTGCTGAGGATCAAATGGACAGACAGGATCACCAACGAGGAAGTATTAAGAAGAACCAGACAGAGCCCGGTCAGAGATGAGGTGGGAAGAAGACGTTGGCGATGGATTGGACACACTCTCAGGAAGTCAAGCAGCTGCATAACAAGAAAAGTGTTAGATTGGAACCCACAGGGGAAAAGATCAAGGGGAAGACCTCGTGGAACCAGGAGAAGAGTCACGGAAATGGATGTACAGAAAAGTGGGAAGACGTGGAGTGACATCAAGCGACTAGCCCAGGATAGGGAAAGGTGGAGAGTGTTTGTTCGTGGCCTATATCCTGCCCCAGGGTGAAAAAGGCAATGATGATGATGAATCGGAATGGCAGTAGAACAGGTCCAAATTTGGAAAGTAGATCTAGATCTACAGTAACAAAATTGTATTTTAGCTAGTAGGCCTAGACCTCTGCGGTAAGAGCCGGCATGTCTTTGCGTGAAAACATGAGAGAGAGAGAGAGAGAGAGAGAGAGAGAGAGAGAGAGGACCCAGCTGTTCACTGAGAAAAAAACAAGTCGTGAAAACGCACATCGAATTTTTTACGACAGGTTGTGAAAAGGCGTATGTAAATTTTTTTCCCCACAACATGTTGTGAAAATACCGGCTGCCTAATTTATTTTAAAAAACAAAAACATAATGTCTGTAAAATATCACCTTCGCCCTTCCTCAGAAGCAGCTAGCTGAGCTATTTTTAGCAAGCTGCTCGATACCCGTGTCTAGGACCTAGGCCTATCTAGGCTTATGCGGAGCGGGAGAGAGGAAGGGTTGTGCATCACAAAATCGGCCGCCCCACCCCTCCTCGCAAAGGACTGCGCGCTTGGTGGGAGAGTTGGGGTAGGGCTGCATTGTTTCGTCATCGCATTGTTGATACTGTTGGGATGGATTCTAGATCTAGCCTATGCATCCTATCAAATTGTTTAAGCTGATAATTCTAATGGCTGTGGGGTTACGCGAAACACTACGAGTACGATTGCATTGACCTCACAAGGACAAGGGACGTCACTCTCCGCGAGAGTGACACAGTGAGTAAAATTCAAGACCCAGAGGCGAGCAGTTCAACTCAGGACAACTCAAGAGGTAGGTCTTAGCTTTATTTAAGCGCTACTCCTACATTGGTGACCCCGAAACTTGGAACGGATTTCCAAGATAACATTCAACATGGGCGAGGAAAACAAAGCGGTGTTTGCAGTTTCATTAAAGCTGCCAACATTCTGGACTACAAACCCCGAAGCTTGGTTTGCTCAAGCGGAGGCACAATTTGCCATCCGCTGTGTTACAGTGGACGACACGAAACATTACCACGTGGTGGCTAGCCTTGACAGTCAAACAGCAACACGTGCTCTATCTGTGCTTGTTTCAACACCGCAGGAACGCAAGTATGAGACTATTAAGACCTTCCTTTTATCTGCTTTTGGCAAATCTGAATCTGAAAGAGCCCACCTCCTTCTTAACATTCAGGGACTTGGTGACCGCAAACCATCGGAGCTAATGGACTCTATGCTAGCTCTTCTTGGGCCCCATAGC